CAATGTTTCCCTCATGCCTTTTTTTCTTTTCACATTCTGCAAAGTAATTTTCTTCTTAACATTAAAAATACTTTTATGCCTTTCACCTGTGACCCATCTCAAAAGGGTTAATAAGTTTATATATCTCCAAGCAAATGTTTAGTATTTTTATGGCATCAATACAAACTACTTCTGACACACTTTCAGGGATAATAATGTTAATCACATTTGTTGTTTGATTTTTAAAATTTTGACATCTACATACATGTGTATTAAGAGATTTGACCAACAAGTTAATTTTTCAATCAGAAGAACTGTACGTAACCACTCACTATTGTTTTTGTGTAAACCATTATGTGACAACAGTACTATGTATTCTTCTGCTTCCTGCTGTTACTGAATATAATTACAAAAACACGTACAAAAGTATAACATCATGAACTATTAACGTGCTGAATGAACATTTTCTAATTCTTCAGAAGTTAAACCAAGAACATTTCTAATAAGTCATGGTTAATAGTTTCATACTATTCAATAAAAATCAATTGTAACAAAATATAGACATTGCTGTAGTGTAAAGGATACCTTGAGTACATTTGTAACACTGCCCAACATCAATATGCTTGTAGTATTGTTTATTAACATTTGAAACCAAGAACAGTATGGTCTTCCATCCAAAATCAATATCACAGTTTCTATTTTTGAGTAACATACCTCTTAGTGAAGGAACAATTACCACACATAAAATCTGAGTTACTGCCAAGTTAAGTTAGCTAGAGATTATTAACTAAACCAAGAAATAATCTGCTTCAATTCACAATGCTAATCTAACTTACTGATACATCAAAGCACAACGTATCATACAGAATTGGAATAATCATATAGATCTTGATAATGCTAACAATATAAAGAAAAAGTTATGTTCTTTAATTATTTGCATTTCTCTGACTTATACTTTTTGTTTATTATTTAAGAAATAGCACTGACACCAAAGATGTACAGTTTCTCCCATCACAACAATATACAGAGATGCAAGAATGTCCTGCAAATCTTTCACAAAGCTGAGTAGACAACAATATACAGAGATGTAAGAATGTCTAGCAAATCCTACTGAGCTTTGTGAAAACAACAATATACAGAGATGAAAGTGTCCCTTATCTAAAAATCCTGAAAATAATTGAAGCCAAGTAGGGAGGGGGGGGGCACCCCAAATCCTGCATCTTGATGCATTTTAGTACTTAAAATTCACTTAAACAAGTTACACCATTTTCTTACATCAATGATTATCAAATACATGTGAGG